TAAGCTCAGCAGCATATTACTGTTACTGTCACACAGGGATTTATACACTGTTGTGCAGTATGTTTCACAGAGATTGAAAATTAACATTAGCACAAAGTTTATTTCTCAAGAATCGGCTTGAAGCACTCTTCCCCGTTTTTAAAAATAAATCACATAGTAGCAATGATGCACAAGTGTTTTCTTCATTATTTCCTACTGTCTATGCATCATGTGTAGGTAATCAGTGTAAAGATGCTTCAACAAGAATATAAATCAGAACCACCATAAATATTCTTCAGGTAAACACCAAGCGAGCCTGACCACCCGATCCTGATCTTATGATCCAACCCATCTAAAGAACATTATCAGCTGAAAATGAAGCACTGTACAGCACTGCCTCTCCAAGTTAATTGTGAACGAGTGAGAGAGTATGGTTTTGCACCGCTTTGAGAAAACTTCAAGCAACATCACAGCGAGAGACACCAGAAATGGGCATCACATCTTGTACCCATATGACTGTGACCGAGTTTAGTTTAGTTTTACACCGCTTTTAGCAATATTCCAGCAATATCACGGCAGGGGACACCAGAAATGGGCTTCACCCATTGTGCCCTAGACTAAGGCTTAGTCTCTGAATACAGTGAAGCCTCGTTAATCCGGACGGTTGCGTTTCTCAGTAAATTCGTCCGGATTGCGAATAGTCCGGACTACTGAATCAAGACCCAAGTTGCTTCCCTAACTATTACAAAAACGACACGAATCTGGATAAAACAAATAAGCATTTAATGTAAAGCTTAATTCATCACATCAATAATTTTACCGAGTGACATCCGCATGTTGATCCGACGTGTCTAATCACGTCCTTCCTCAGCACAGGTGAGGTAATGTCTAACAAGCGATCTATTGTAGTATGCCTTGAATGTCTTAATTATTCCTGCATCCATCGGTTGTATATGAGACGTGGTATTTGGTCACATTTCGCAAAGTTAGCTTAAGCTACACTTGTGACTTGCAGCATTGTCGTGAAAGCAAAATCACTTTAAGTCCACGTGACGCATCTGTCTGTCTGTCAGTACATTAACCAATCACAAAACAGCTCACTTGTCATCCACGCTTTGTATTGTGGTGTCAATCAAAGTGTAAATGTACAGCATCTTCAGTCGGAGCTTTTAATGTCTAATTAAAACAACAACCCAGTTGGCCAGTTAATTAAGTAAACATCGCCGGGTGGTGTTGTTACTGTTCGTGAACACGACTTACAGCGTCCGGACTGTGAAGCAATTTACTGTTTATTTTACTGATTGGTGACAGTTACTTACCGTCCGGTTCCGGAAACCGAATTTCCGGATTATCGGGGCAAATTATATAGGCATAGATTGGTAACAAGCTGAAATCATCCGGGAGGCGAGACATCCGGATTATCGGAGTCTGGACTAAAGGGGCTTCACTGTATATATAATTTTGATAGTAACAAACAAGCCCATTTATATTGAAAAGGAGCCCTAGGGAGACCAGAGATTCAGAACCTGAACCTGAGGAAATCTAGACTTGCTTTATTTAGGGCTTAAGCACTGCAGAGAGGGCTTGGCAGTAGGGAAAAAAATGTGGTTTAGGGACTGTGAGACAGACTAATTGTGCCCATGTGGGGAATCGAACCCGGGTCTTCGGCGTGACGAGCCAACACTTTAACACCTAGGCTACCCCACCGCCCCGTACCCATGAGGAATCGAACCCAAAACTTTGGTGTGACAAGCAAGCACTTAAACCACAAGGCTACACCACCTTACCCCTAACACAAGTAATCAGAACCTGGTGTTCAGCATGATAAGTCAACACATTAACCATAAGCTAGCTTCCCATCCTTCAGATGCTACAAAGATAAGCCACTACACTCATGATTTTGCCCCAAGAAATGGATAAACCACCATGTGCAATCATACTCCACAAAAGTCATAACCTGGAGCTAAGTGTCTTAACTGACTCATATCTGAAACCACTAAAGATTAGTTTTTTGAAGGCCTTAAACAGGTTTCAAAAATAAACATTCAAACATTCCCTAAAATGTCCAGGAGGAAAAGGAAGAGGCAACAAGTTTCAGCAGAGCTTGTTACAAGCAACACGTTTCCCATGTCAACCGCCATAACTACATGAACATCATTAATGACATGATGATTTCCTTTCAAAAAATGCAAATTGCACAAATGATGCTACAAAACACTTCACGCTGGTGCATCTGTGCATCAGTGCATCAGTGCAGATCAGCTGCAGTGTTTATATAGCCATCGTTAACATGTCAAACAGTGCAGGGGAAAATAACAGATTTCAACCCACTCCTTTTGGATAGTTCACCTTGACATACACCATCTTTTATAAGCCATACTCATAGTTAATCACATAAATCCATTCTCATACAGATCTATTAACTATTTTGTTTTTGGTCACAGAAATGTGTTCGACTCCACATGCCCTGCAAGAAAACGATTATTCCTGAAGTGTGGGCTTTCTTGAAACTAGTATTTGTTCAAGTTTGGTTCGACCCAACTGCACAGAAGTACATGTCAATGAAAAATAATTTAAAAACCCAAACAATGGACAATGCATAAATATGAACACTGAGACATTTTCATCAGAATAAAAGGATGCACTGTAACTCTGACACACCTTAATACATAATTTCAGCTGGAGCAAGGGTTGAAAAATACCCGCCCGCCGCCCGTTTCGAATGGAATTGTTTGGTCGGTCAAGTAAATAACCACATTAAACTTTACCGTGGTACAGCAGTGCCAAACTACTGAAATGTTTTGATATATATGTATTTTGATGATGAAATTGAAATGCATTTGCTACCAACTCAAATTGTTAATTGTGGTCAAGTGAAATTAATATTTGGTCAAGTGGATTACGAAAGTTTACTGGACCTGTGTCCAGTGGAGTTTTGAAAATATTTTCAACCCCTGTGGAGCAGTCTTAGTGTACATGTACAGTGGAATAACATCACAAAAGAAGATCCATGTATCATTACTTTTGAATTTCTACTTTTTTGTTCCATACTGACAACACAGTAGATGGATAACAGTTCAGTATAAAGGTTTTCAAATTCCTAATTTTTTCCATATCGGTAAGACAGTAGATGGTAAGTTCTTCAGACAGGCGGAACTTATATTAACAGACAGTTCGATCAAGAGCTCCAGCACTGACCTAAAGTAGACAGTCAGAGTTTGGTCGATCCCAAATCCTTTGAGCAAAATATTCGCCACATATTCCTTGAAAACAAAGACAGCAGAAACGTCTCTTTGATGAAGACCATAAGGGCTGCATCAAACGAACTCCATATGCAGAATCCAAATTACAGTAATGATAAAGTAGAGATGGAGCAAGCACCTTGGTAATTCAATTCCTTGGCAAATAGCAAGCATGTGTAGCTGCTGTTTATTACATGGCTACAGGTGTGCGAGGGCCATTGTGAATCCACGCTCCAGTGCACAGCTTGATGGGCTTCAGGGAGATAGGAGATTCTCTAATGAAGGGGGGAGCCGAGTGGCTCAAATACAGATAGGAAATAAGTTTGTAACAACGGTGGCTCATAGGAAGCTTCAGTAACTTGGAAACCATTACGGACAGTACAAATAATCTCTAACCACACTGGCTAAAGGGAAACTATTTATATTATAGCTCATGTAGAGATGACAGTTTCTGTACATACTGGGTTTCATACTCGTATGATCTTTTGAAAAATAGGAAGAAGAACTTAAATGTCTTAAAAAATACAATGAATCTTCCCCGTTTTTAAAAAACATCACATAGTAGCAATGATGCACAAGTGTTTTCTTCATTATTTCCTACTGTTTATGCATCATGTGTAGGTAATCAGTGTAAAGATGCATCAACAAGAATATAAATCAGAAACACCATAAATATTCTTCAGGTAAACACCAACACTAAGTAAATAGACATATACTATAACAACTTGTACACAAAATGCGAAAAACTTCAACTTCACTTTATCAAACTGGGTGAGTAGCAGATATGACTTATGCCATCTGGGAGATATCTGCCATCTTACAAACATAATGTATAAATACCTATGGACTTATAATCACATTCAGTTATTTCTGTAAAAAGGTTTGACACTTAGTCATCATTTATCAATGCTGAAATGGCTAACAGAAAGTAAACATCAGCATAAAGCATGAATCAAAGCATGTCGTCTGGTACTTCTTTGCAAGTAGTAATTCAATATTCTCATGTAGTCTGAGTTTATCTGTCTGTCAATTCTAAATTGATAATGTATTCATTGAGTGCATTTGTCTAATCTATTTCTTGTGAAGAAATTAAACAATAAGGCCAGACCAATTTTATTTCTTGTTTTACAGATTTTTGTCCTCAGAAAACCTAAAGGCAGGAGGAAAAAAATATATAAATAAATAAATACTTAAAGTATTTTACTTTTGGCAATTTATGAAGTGTATATGGGGCAAAACACAATCTAAAAAAACATTTCTAGTAAATTACAGTTTTGATCAATAAAACACTGGGATTTTATTTTTTGAGTGGGGAAAATTAACTTTTATTTTTTTCTTATTCTTGAAAAAATATGACCGACGGATCTGTTAAACAAGAAATGAAATTGGTCTGGCCTAAGTAGGAAATAATAAATTTTCAGAACGATGAACATCATGTCCATAATAGTTTAAGTATGTAATACCCAGGATCATGTGAACATGATAACCTGTAAGAAACTATTATCCAGTAATCGTGACCCTGATGACTGAAAAGACTGGATTGGTACCAAATCTTGTGCATTAATAATAACACCCATAAAACTCATAACATTCACATAACAGTCATACGAAATGTATTTCCCCTTTAAATCTTTTCAAAAATAACCTGAGGCATAAAACGACATGACACACAAATGACACACTTTAAAAACAGCCCAATTAAAATGCTCCATAAATCATGCAAAATGGAACTCTTAATGGCAATATTTCTGAAAAGACATTATGAAATATTTTTCTTACCTGAACTCAGTTAAGGTCATTGTTGCTGGAAAATACTGTGCAAAGGATGACAGCTGTACTTTCTTCATAAATTCTAAGAAAGCAACATGGTCAAAATTTTCAGATGAAGATCTTCCCACAGGTTTAGCTGAAGATGCTGAACTTCGACGTCTTGGATGTAGAGCTCTGTCAACTGACGTAACAATGCGTAACTGTTTATTGAAAGGAAAATGTGTCTCTGGTAGATGCAATTCTTGCGTGTCGTCACTGAACTCGGCACTTTCACGTAAACGGCTGTCGCTTATGCTTCCTTCATCACTGAAATCTTCTCCACGATACCTCTCAAAACTTGTGGAGGTACTACATGGAGAAAAATCAGATGACGAAATGGACATGTCCTCAACATCATCAAATGCATTTTCTCGAGACAAACTATGCCTCGGGGTGACAGTCTTCAAAATACCTTCTTTCCTTACAGGGGTGGATGTCAAATCTCTGGCTGTGCCCTCAGGTCTCTTGAACTCATCTCCATCTGTGTTGAGGAAAAATTTGACATCAGCCTGAGATGTTATGGTTGGTGTTCGAGGACTTGCCACAGATTTAGATGGAGTTGGATTATACAGTTTATCTTCCCTCAAACTAAAGCTCAGTTCCTCTTCTTTAGAAGTACTGGTTGATTCTGTTGAAGGCTTACTTTTATATTTTAGGGGTGTTAACGAGTCTTCAAATTTGGACTCATCACATATCTCAGTTGTATCCACAGTCGACATGGTAGAATCTCCTGTACCTTCCTCCATAGAACATTCTGTCTTGCTATCTTCTGTAATTGTTTGAAGGACTGAACTTCCAACACTTTCATCTTTCACTGGACTAATATTAACAGTTGACAATATTGTTATTTCAGTATTCCCAACAATGAGTTTATCCGGAACCTCTTCAGTTTTGCTTCTTGATTTTGTTTTGGGTGGTTCTTTCAGTTTCATGTCATTTTCAACAGATTCCTTTCCTTCAGCTAGTTTATACCCCCTCGCTTCCTCTGGGTTATAAGCCCCTACCCTCGGCCGCTTTACAGTACCTGTTTTCCTCGCCGCTTGCTGAAACTGCGGAGTAAGAGATTTCCTTGGCGTTGACATGATTCTTAATTTATGCAGATCTTACACTTTGAAAAGGATGCATTACAGTCAATCTTCATTTTGATTTCCAACAGACAGTGTGAGATTCACTACACCTCCTCCATCAAATACATTTCCATACCACAAGTAGACTGTCAATGTTTACACTCCAATCTCTTCACCGGCCTGAGAGCCAACTGGCCGTCCAACTTGCTGCCCGCCGTTTGCAGAATAAAGATCTCGACCACGGGTACTTTTCTCATGGTTAGATCCTAAATTACTTCTAAAATGTAAGTCCAAATTCCATGTGAAATGTAACTAAGTGATACGCACATCGGTGATTTCTTTTGCTTCGTGGTGTTGGTAACTCGCATAAACAAACTGTTTACTTCACAAGTCCGAACTTTTCTCACTGCTGGAAAACATTCTGAAATCAAAATCACCAAGCTTCATTAGCTTGATTATCCTTGTATACCGAACAGCTTATTCCCGGAATACTACGCTCATGATTGAGAAACAATACATGAGTCAGTGTCTATACAAGCTTGCTATCCCATGTGCGAGGGACCGCTCTCGGTTTGTTGTGACGGCCATTTTCCATACATGGGCCACTGTTGTCCCTCTCGGATTGGCAAATCCACGGGCAGGTCACTGTCTCAGAAAGAGTCGACCCTTCACCAGAAGACCATAACGATAATCCTTCCACTCACCAAGCCATTACGAACATAACCACATCCAGAACGTTTACTACAACTTCGCGTGGATTCCCACTGTGGAAACCTCAGAGGCTCCATTCAGAAGTTTACGTACGCAAGCATTGTGGGAGTGACGTTAGCGGAAAATCTATCCGGGTTAGAGGTCGCGGGGTCAGTGAAATGACCTTGACATGCAAGGTCCCAACTTAAGAATTTACACATTGCGTCACCAGGAGTGAGCTTGTGGCCGGAGCCGCGTGTCATTTGTCACTAGCTTAGTGAATAATGAATCAATATCGGATGGTGGAGCAATAAAAGTAATTAAAACGCTAAAGCAAAATGCTTAAAAGGAATATTCAATTACGAAACAAGAACACCCCAGACGAATGTGAAATTTACAAATAAGTTTCAAGAATAAAGATAGAACGAAATTTAACGTACTCGTTAGCTATTTCTGTACATATATCACTTAACCAGTGAGCTATCTCGTTAGTTTATAATTTTTAATTCATATTATAGTTTTGTTAAATAGCTTGGCTGTTTTATTTGTCTATTCATATATATGGTAGGCCCCTATACTATACTATATGGTCTCTGGTCTGTTCGGTCGGACAATGCGAGAATTCCGTGTAATGAGTGTGACGTCAAAGAGGTGGAATAAATCGAGCGCAAGAGTTTCGTGATGTCTGGTAATATTACATGTCAAGCAAGCAATCACTATCGCACTTTTGTCAGTATGTAATCACGACTTACGTGACAGCACTCATTTCACCCTTTGTTGTGATCTGGTCGTTATCCAGTGTCAGAAAGTCCGAGAGAAACACTTTCAACAAATAAAACCTTGGGTTTGGAGACAGGTCTGACTGCACGTGCACAATGTGCACGTAATTTAGCGGGCATCATGTTATCATAATCTGTATATTATATTAGTCCCGACAGTAAAAAATCTATTTATTTTTTTAAATTAAGACGAAATAACAATTAGTTTTTTAAAATATCTATATTTTAAATTTTGTGAAAATTAATAGTATGTACTGATATATGCTGCATCTTCCTAAGTGTGTGTGTGTGTGTGTGTGTGTGTGTGTGCGTGCGTGCGTGCGTGTGTATTCAAATGTTCAGTCATGCATTAACAACAGTGTTGAAGTGAATGAATAAAGTTATACGTCGCATTCAAGAATATTCCCCCTATTTCGACGGGGGAACAGAAATGGCCAGGCTTTACACATTGTACCCAAGAGGGGAATCAAGCCCGAGTCTTCGGCGTGACGAGCGAACGCTTCAATCACTAGGCTGCACACCGCCCACAATGTTAATGTACCCGAGACAATCCGGGTTAGAATATTGATCTTCAGTAACCCATGCTTGTCGTCAGAGGCGACTAACGGGATCGGGTGGACAGACTCGATCACTGACTTGGTTGACACATGTCATCGTATGCCAACAGCGTAGATCGATGCTCATGCTGTTTATTACTGGATTGTCTGGTCCAGATTTGATTATTTACAAACCGCCGCCATATAGCTGGAATATTGCCGAGTGCGGCGTAAAATTCAACTCACTCACAATGTTAATGGAAAGACGTGGAAATTCGAGAAATTTAAAATATGGTAGGGGACCCTTAATAAGGTATGGCTGGGGTTGGGAGGGATGAGTTGGGGAGGGGGAAGAGATGATCATTTTAAGGGGGATCACCCATTTTGTTCTGGGGAGGTAGGGGGGTCATCAATTTTGTACACATGTACTGGGATGGGTCAGCAATGTTGTATATAAAAACATATGCTTAAAAATATGGGAAGGGGGAGGCGGTCATTGATTTTGTACATGACATGCAGGGAGTCACTAGTCCCTAGTGTTAACTGTCATTACATTTTCAGAACATTTGTTGTTGAGAAATATGTACACCTGAAAAAAGCTTGAATGTTGGTTGATAAACTTCTGTAATTAATTCAACAGAATGAGAACAACTCCCTGATCGCCTGTAATCACATATTCGTGTGTAGCTGGTAAACTGAATGAAATCGCCACACCCAAGAACTCTCTCAGGTAGACCCAGAGGCGCTGCTCATAAACTCCAGAGGATTGACACTTTTAGTCATACCCTATACAACAGACACCCACACGAAGAGACATAATGCCAACAAAAACGTATTGTTGAAAAGACAAGCCCACCCGGAAGGTAACCCTCTACCATGCGTTTATCCTGTATCTGGAGTAGCATCAGATGTCTCCCAGTCATATATTCATATGTGTAGGTGTAAACAACGTCTACAGCAACAACGCACCTCACTGCGGAAACAATAAAGTACCTGAGATTTGGCAGCTGTTATGAGTTGTATAGCCAGTGAAAACTTCTTCTATACACATTATATATCCCTCCTCTGAAATCTTTTTCATATCGTCAATTCACATACAGTGAGTGAGTTTAGGTTTACGCCACACTCAGCAATATTCCAGCTATATGGCAGCGGTCTGTAAATAATCGAGTCTGGACCAGACAATCCAGTGATCAACAGCAGGAGCATCGATCTGCGCAATTGGGAACCGATGACATGTGTCAACTAAGTCAGCGAGCCTGGCCACCCGATCCCGTTTGTTGTCTCTTACGACAAGCGTGGGTTACTGAAGATCAATATTCTAACCCGGACCTTCACGGGTCAGTTCACATACAGACGCTGTTTTTTCATGTATGTGAGCAAAAGAGACTATGTGAACGTACGCACGCACACACACATACATACAAAATTTAAAATACAGATAATTAAAAAATCTAATTGTTATTTCGTCGTAATTCTTTAAAAATTAAGATTTTTTTTGCTTTCGGCACAGATATGATATACAGATTATAATATTTGAAAAAAATCAGTAACTGCTCCTATACATGAGCATGTTGTTTTCTCAACGATAATTATCTGATAGATTTCATTCATATAAATTACCATGGCATTCGCCGAAAATAACCTTCACTATCTTTCCTGCAGCTAATTACTTTCAATGACAAGGAATGCATGGTTTATGAATTACATGTCGTGATAACAGCACAGAGATAAATATTAAAATAGAATGTAAGGAGATAGGTTTGTCCCAAGATATTAAAAGTCACGTTTTATTCCTATTTAATCAGCGACCGATTTTCAAATAATTGATAAAATAAATAAACTCAAGCACAAACAATCTTATGCACTATTAACTCCGCGAATGACGTGGAGGGGAGACATAGGAAAATGTCACAATATGAACTAGAGGCACAACGAACCCTCGTAAACTCGGGTGAGTGAGTTTGGTTTAGGTAGTGTTTCAGTTGTGTAGCGCCATTTCAGCTCAAATGATGGGAAACAAATGCAGTTTTCCAATCAGATACCATGCCGCAGTCGGGCATGCATAGCCCATTCAGACACATTATACTGAATCCAAACCAACCTGACCAATGTTATCTCCCTTAGATAACGCAGAACGCCAGGCAGGGTAGGAACAAGTAACACGTTTAACGGGTTTTGTTGTGACGCGGCTGTCGATAAAACCGATCATCCTTTCTACTAGCACACGCTTTAACCATGTGATCTTGAACCTATGGTTGCGCTAGAGGAGTGAATGAGTGAGTGAGTGTGGTTTTACGCCACTTTTAGCAATTTTCCAGCAGTATCACGGCGGGGAACACCAGAAACTGGCTTCACACATTTTACCCATATGGGGAATCGAACCCGGGTCTTCGGTGTGACGAGCGAACGCTTTAACCACTTGGCTACCCCATCGCACCTTACACAACAAGAGCAGAATGAGTGACTACTTAAGAAGGTATACCGACTGCTTCTGCTTCAGGGGTTGACAGTCAAAGGACGTCATGGGTAAAGAATGTATACATCCTTGACATACATTTCAATGGTAGAATCCTCAGACGGGGCAGAATATAGCACACAGTTGCCCGGACCCTGAATATTCGTGCTCTCATTCCGCAAGAGGTCAAGCTATTACGAAACAAGAGTTACGCATTATTTCACAAATTACTGATGAGTCGATAATCACAACTGCACATACATTTTAAAGATGAAATAATATAGACAGTTCCTTTCAAGTTTCACAAAATGCCACCGGTATGTTAATAATGGAAGTCTCCATCAACGCGCAGGCGTATCCAATGTACGTAAGCAGAAACAAGTTCGTTTTGAAGCGTTCGTAAAATATAAAATATGGCCATAAAACGTCAGATGGACCAAATATATCACAAGATGCTTCATATTAGGCAAAGCTATTAAAACATCAGAAACGTCAATTAGAAACCGTTAATGTGTACTGCATACCTTACAAAGGGACTGAAAGAATAAAAATACGCAACGGTCATACCTGGAAGAGTGATCCCCCTTTGATGCGGATGGTCAACACTTTGTGGACCATGGCATCTTACTCTTGAAAGACTGACTGACTGAGTTTTGGTTTTACGCCGCTTTTAGCAATATTCCATCATGGCGGGGGACACCAGAAATGATCTTCACACATTGTACCCATGTGGGGATTCGAACCCGGGTATTCGGCGTGACGAGCCAACGCTTTAACTATTAGGCTACCCCACCGTCCCCTCTTGAAAGACATGTCTAAGTTACATTATATATTGGTAAAATATTATTACTATAAATGAATAAACAATACATAATATATATAGATAAAAAAAATAGAGAGATTATATAAAACTAGTTAATGTATACCACTGCAATGGCGATGAATGGTTGATACTTTAGAAACGTTGATATTAACGACACATCGTTTCAACTTACCTTGATGAAAATCTTCTCTCCGTTGGTGACATAACCACCATTGCATGGCGTCGACTTCAGATCTTGTAAAAACAAATATTCTCAGTTATTTTGACTATTATGTCTTCACAGACATATATACTCCACACTATAATTATGGATACGACATTTTAGTAATTTATTCAACACATTACAAACAACAGGTGTCAGTGTCCATCGCTGAAATTATTTGCCGGGTCACGTGCCAATGACGTCAGACCCCACACGGATGTCAGAACAGAGAAGGGCGGTTGTCTGAACGAGCGCTCTCGACAGGTCAAGCCAGAAAACAAAAGAAACACTTACAAGTTCAGCTACACTGGGCGGGATGAAATGTCTTTGGAACAGAATAGAATGGGCGTATAAAAGTTTCACATAAGAAGAAATATGAAATTGAATGAAAGTTGGTCTCGATATTCTAATAACATTTTAGGTTTTGAAATAGGATTCGCATTTGTTCGCGGATGTCCGTCATTCTCCGAATCTGCTTTCCGCTGAGAATATTTCGCAAGACAATTAACAAATATCCGCTCACGTGATCAAAACGTGTTGAAGTGTTTCAGCCATGAATTGTCTGAACCATTCAATTAATAAGTAATTCCATACACACATTCTCTAAAGCGAGCACATGCACGTTCTATTTCGATCATACAAGGAGGTCTCTCAAAAATCTCGGAAATTACAACCATGATTATGATATTCATTGAAATGTACCTCTGGGATAAGGGCGCATTTTGACTAACTGGAGATGTCAGACTATATTTTGGGGAAATGTTAGAATGAAAATGATCAGAAATGTTCAAATGGCTGACGACCGTTCGATATCCTTATATTAGCTAATTGTTTACTTTATATATGGTCAAATAAAAAGGTTGTAGCCAAAATAAGTCAACTTAACTTTTAGAACTTGAAATTGATTCTAAGTGTATGAGCAGGTGCGTGACAAAAGATCATTTATTTTAACCTTTGTGATGTACTTTTTATGCACATATTGGTATGAAAATCAGCCTGTACGTAGACTTGCCTATGTTAAAAATATTATAAAACGCATAAAAACAACCCCTAAAATGAGACTTCTTGACACATTTTATCCTTACCGTTGAATTTAGTGATGTTTTATGACGCAAACGCGCAACTGATGAACATGTCGCTATAAAATGGTGATCTGTAAATAATCGTGTATTGACAAGACAACCCCGTGCGTGATCAAATGGCGTTCAGGTCGGCGGGGCAAGCTGACACGCAGTCCACTGACCCTGAGCTTCTATCGACAGGCATATGACATCAGGTACTATTTTCACCAGCAATTCCCACACGTTATAAATACACTACAGTGCAAAACAAACTACATACTGACACTTAGTCTGTCGTACAGACCCTGAAGTAAATATATCCAAGAAAGCCCACGCAAGTCTAGAAAATGTGGCAAGTCTAGATTTCCTCAGCTTCAAAATGAAGAAAGTCTCAGGGCTCTTTTTCATTATATATATACTTTTTTTACTATGAACTTTTTTTCAGTAAAATATGTTCATTTCAGAGACTAGTTGTTAGTCTACGTGACACTTAATCTCTGAAAATATATAATAATTATTTTGATTGGGAAATATTACTTTATTTACGCTGAATAGGGATCCTAATGCGTTTGGAGATTCAGAACCTGGGAATAATCTAGACTTGCTTCATTTTGGACTTTTGCATGACAGAAAGGGCTGGACGGACTGGGAAATGTTTGTTTGTTTGTTGTTTTACGCCGCACTCAGCAATATTCCAGCTATATGGCGGCAGTCTCTACCTAATCAAGCCTGGACCAGACATCCAGTGATCAACATAATGAGCATCGATCTACGCAACTGGGATACGATGACATGTGTCAACCAAGTCAGCGAGCCTGACCACCCGATCCCGTTAGTCGCCTAATACAACAAGCATGGGTTACTGAAGACCAATTCTGACCCGGATTTTTACGGGTGGATCAGGAAATAATCTGGTACAGGGAATAACAACGTGGCTAAGAGTGAACAAGAAATGAATGTTCGGTAGGGAAGTATTTGAAACGAATATTATATCTGTGTGGTTCTTAATTTGCTGCATTTCGATAACTGTTTTTCAGCCTAATAAAGTTTTGATATATTTTTGTGTTTGTTGATTAGAGCTCATTTTCAAATGTGTAGTTTCTCTAGCCCGACAGCTGATGGTTATATTGTGACCACCCAATCTTTATAAGCAATGGCGGAGGGGTAATCGAGTGGTTAAAGCGTTCGCTCGTCACGCCTAAGACCCAGGTTCGATTCTCCACATGGGTACAATGTGTGAAGCTCATTTCTGGTGTTCGCTGCGTGATATTGCTGGATTTTACCTAAAAGCGGCGTAAACGTATACTAGTACTCATTCATTTCCCTTTTTGACCGCCTCTGTGGTGTAGTGGTTAGAGCGTCATACCAAAAGACGTTCAAATATGGTACTTGTTGGTCCCTGCCTGGCGCTCGGCATTAATGGGTACAACAAGGACTGGTCGGCTCGGAGTCAGTATAATGTGTCTGAGTGGGGTATTCATGCTTCACTGCGGCATGGTATCTCAGTGGGCTAGCACTATAAAACCAGCTTCAGTCTTGGCTAGTACAAGCAGCCGCACATACACATACACACGCATGCACGTCGTCATATGAGCGAAATATTCTCAAGCACGACGTTAAACCCAATTTCACCTCACCTCACCTCACCTCACCTCATTTCCCTTTTTACTATTACAACCTGCATATCGGACAAGAAACGTATTCTGACCTGAAATCCAAAATCCTACTAAAACAAACTACTCACGGTGTCCGTATAGTGAAACAATCGTTACGTCCGTTGTCTTTGCTTAGTTGTCTTGGTTAGGGCGATACCGTGTCCCATGTAGCTTACATAGTGTCTATTTCCCCAAAGGAATGTCTCCCATAACATCGGACAATACAGGAATTCACCCAGTCCTTATTTCGATTAAACAGTGACTGCTCTTCTGAACTTATCTGATTTTGAACACATAATCAGGAGATAAATCATGAGTCATTTCCTGTGGTTCATTCAAGGAAGGTTAAGTGGAAAAATACCCTCTGCAGATTTAAAACATAATAAACGAAACTAAACTTAAACTAAATATACTGTTAAACGTTTAAGTGGACTTAAGTTTTTACGGGTGTTTACTTTTGAAAAAGAGCATAAAAAGGCGAAACTGGAAAAAATGTAGTCCTCGGACTATCATAATTAATATGATTGAATGACGTCATAGCTGTCATGGCAAAATATCAGACCGTCTGAATCGTCAATAATGATTCATTTTGTGATTGTTAAGAAAACCGCGCTCCTTGTCATCTATAGATACATCACTTGTCTCAAAAAGGCGATTGCGACATATCAGAAGTCAAACTGAGGGTTAGGTAGACAGATTTTACTTGCGCTTCTTTCTGTCAATGTTAAAAGACCATTGGTCGTTGTTTCGTCGCGGAGTGAGTGTGTGAGTATGGTTTTACGCCGCAGCATTCCAGCAATATCACGGCGGGGAACACCAGAAATGGGTTTCGTCACGGATGCCATTATGTTAAACCTATTAGTAACAACTATCATCAACCAAGTCCATTGTAATCACGCTCAGTCCTCGTCTAGTAAACAAATTGAGTGAGTCAGTGAGTATTGTTTTACGCCGCTTTTAGCACTATTCCAGCAATATCACGGCGGGGGACACCAGAAATGGTAAACAAACTGATGATTAAAACAAACAAACAAACAAACAAACAAAACCGTTTGAGAGTTTATGTTGTAATAATGGTCAAGCAAGCATAGCTTTGTATTATTGTATTTCGCATTAGTGGTTCTACACTGAAAGAACTGTCTATCAACATATGTATTAAGCACGGTAGGTGATGTTATTCAACCAATGGGAAGTTTTTGTTTATATTCTGGAACCGACATCAAATTTATTGCATCATCAACATAAAACTAAAACAATAAGAACCCGCGTCTTCGGTGTGACGAGCGAACGTTTTAACCACTAGGCTATCCCACCGTGAATGTACAAATGAAGTATAAACCATCATTTTTATCACTGTCCATAATGGTACAACACCTCCAAAATGCCAATTAATAATGTTGATCATGTAGACATGTACAGACTAGACGAACCCGTTTTGCAATGGTACAAAAATGTTATATAGACACAAGGAAACATAAAACGTCGACACAGGAGAATAACCTTTCTCGATTATCCGACCAAACAGATTCAGTGTGGGTAAAGGGCAAACTAGCGGCGAGAAAAAAATAGTCCGTGTCTGAAAATTATACTTTTCAAAGGTGCCTGAGAGCAAAATCGTTTACTTTGTCAACCTAATAAGATGTTATGTGTTTAATGTCAAACATATCTATTTAAAAAACCCGCAAATTACACAACCCACGCAGTGTGTGCAAACTGTAAAAACACTGATTTATATATATTTATCTCTTTGATACGCCCCCTCCGTAGTATTTGTCCAGCAAAATGGCCGACATGAGATCGGCGTTCATTTTCTCTCTGAGGTAGGTGAACTATATATGGATGTACTTGAAACTTATTTGTACTTGTCAATTTCATCTCTTTGACACGACAACGTATGTATGCTGGTCCATGCACCCCACCCCATGGTATATGTAGAGTATATGTATGTCAGTGAAGTAAGAATATGATCTAAGATCGACAAAACGGAATACGTATCTTACAGCTTTGACTGACTTGTGTAGATAAGAATCGGGCCGTGTTCTGCCTGATTCGTCAAACCACTCTGGCCCAGCAACACTACAGCTACCTATAAAACAGGTTCATTGTAGGGAAATATCCGTGAAGGTCCGGGTTAGAACTGATCTTCAGTCACCCATGCTTGTCGTAAGAGGCGACTAACGGGATCGGGTGGTCAGGCTCGCTGACTGGGTGGACACATGCCATCGGTTCCAAATTGTGCAGATCGATGCTCATGATGTTGATCCCTGGATTGTCTTGTCCAGGCTCGATTATTTACAGACCCCGCCATATAGCTGAATATTGCTGAGTGCGGCGTAAACCTAAACTCACTCACTCATTGTAGGAAACTGTTCTTTTGGGGGTTTCGCTCCACTCACCAATATTCCAGCTCTACCATAGCGATTTGTGAATAATCGAGTCCCAACCAGGGGTTGATATTGCAAGCAACAACTCACTAGGCCGGGGGCGATGACGCGCTGTCAATCACGACAGTGAGCTGGGCAAAACGTCCATTAGCTCTTCCTATAAACATAGGTTTCGTGGGACCTACCTACACTGACGCTGAGATTTTGAATATATATAATTTATATAGAAACAAACATTTCCTTTTAAATTGAAAAGAAGCCCCATTGAGATGCGAGATTCAGAACCTGGGGAAATCTAGAATTTCTTCGTTTAGGGTTTTAGCATTGCAGGGAGGACTAGGCAGACGGGAAAATGATGTGCAGCTGGTTCAGGGACTGTGAGACGGACTAAGGACCGACCCTAACCGGGAGTCATCACGAGGGTATACGTCGACGACGACGACAACGATGACGTCAGCTTCTGCTGCTACTACTGCTCTGCTGCTGCTACCAATGATAATTTCCTCAAAATACTATTAATGTTTATAGGTCGTCTATGTCTACGTTTAGTCTCATAGTCACTGCAGTGATATGTCGTTTCTTCAGTTCCTAGTAGGGGCTGTGGTTAAAGCGTTCGCTCGACACGCCGAAGACCCGGGTTCGATTCCACGCATGGGTACAATGTGTGAAGCACATTTCTGGTGTTCCCAGCCGTGATATTGCTGGAATATTGCTAAAAGCGGCGTAAAACTAAACTCACTGTTCCTAGTGCCGGTGCATTTGCTCAGGCTCTAACCGTTGTTGCTCATAAATTAAGGAATGATATGCTAAGACAAAGCCAATATTTCATAATTTTTAAGAAAACGAGACATTTCGTATTTACTAAGCCCTTTCCACAGCCTTATCACCGTCTTCACCAACCTGGTACCCCCTGACAACATCTTCGACGATTTTACCCAGGGTGCACCTCTTCGTTACGTTATCAACTTGACCAACTGTATGCCATCCCCTCCATTTGGTCCCAAGATGGAAGATACGTTTATTAGTGACGTCATTTCCGGTGGAACCCTTTCTTCGTCTTCTGATGCCACATGGAATATGCTCCTGGGAAATGAGAAATACATCAACGGCAGCAGATACAACCTAACCGGTGTGTTCATGGGAAAAGCAGCAAATCTATCGCATGAAGTATTTATTTACAGAACTCATCTTTACTCTGAATGCGACGAGAAGCGTGTGTTATACATCTGATTAAAGGTATTTAGGCACTTTTGCTAGGGTTTGGAGAATGTGCAATCCTTTCAAAAACTGTTACTATCTAATGATCGTGAGTTTGAATCCGGTTTGCCTACGTTAACCACAAACTATTGAGTTTCGCAAAATGGTAAACGTTATTTGCATGACCTCGGACATTGTTCCCCAATTTAGCAGATACGCCGTGAAATAACCTTCAAAGCGACGTTAAACTCACTATACATTTGCTCGTGTTAATATAATGTTCATGTATAGAATGGGATAGCACATGCCATTCGAACACTAGGTAAAATTCCTATCAATTTGTTTTGCAATATCCAAAGTGACCGATTTGAATAATTAATGAAATCGACAACCCACAAGCCGAAGGCCCGGGTTCGATTCCCCACATGGGTACAATGTGTGGAGCCCGTTTTTGTTGTCCCCCGACACACACCATATTGTCACACACACACCAATATTGCTTGACGGCGTAAAACCATTGTCACTAGCTACTTTTCACTAGCTACTATCAAAACATGGGAACATACGCTTTTTACTTTTCTTTCATCAAGAGCAATGACCTCTATTTTTATGTGTAGGCTTAAGCAAAATCAAGTGTTGTTACGTTAAAATATGTTTTTACTTATGTATACATTATTTATGACTTTTACTCCTGGAACTTAGGGCATTTCAAACATTTCTTGAAGTATAATATCATTACTATATTTATATTATTCAAAACAACCAGTCTTTTTACAAATATTTCATCGCTTATCATTCAGCTATATCATCATTGAGAGTAACCAGCATCCCAATGTCAGATCAAGGTCAAGCCATCGTTTACGTGTACGACCTTGACCCAAGGTCATGGAAGAGGCTGGCTGTACAAGACATCACCTGCTTTACTGGTCAGAGAAAGAGGTAACTATTTATCCGAAACGAAACTTGTGCAATAAGTGTCTGTGTGTGCGTGCGTGCGTGCGTGCGTGCGTGCGTGTGTGTGTGTGTGTGTGTGTCCTAGTGGTTAAAGCGTTTGCACATCACGCCGAAGATCCGGGTTCGATTCTGCACATGGGTACAATGTGTGAAGTCCATTTCTGGTGTCCCCCGTCGTGATATTGCTGGGGTTGACCAAGGAATGAACTGGCCCCAGCATTTTGGATAGATAGGCCAGGCTCGGTGACCTGTTTGTTTGGGCGTCATCGTACCCCGATACTTGGAGTGCTGTTCACAATATCGATCACTGGACTCGAATACTTACAGGCCATAGCGACGTAACCTGAATATAAACCAAGTAAAACAATCTATTCTCTAGACCTGCATAAATTATGCGTTTTGAAATATTCCTCTGTAGTGAGATCGCCTTCGTTACCACCAACCAAACGAAGACGCCGCTCTACACGTACGACGACGTAAGCGCCACCTTGTTGTCGGGAGGGGAGGCGACTTTCTCTTTCAACATAGACGGAAAATCCCCGGATGACCAATTTTATTACGTGGTTGGCAGGATTGAAGGTTTGAGATGAACAATAAATGAATACTATAATATGATATTATCGAAGGTGATTTTGTTTGTGATCAGTGCTTCGGGATTTGACGTGTGTCAACAACAACAGGAATGAATGAATGAATGAATGAATGAAAGAAAGATAGGTAGTCAACGGAGCTAGAGTATACAACGAAGTACGCGTAACACATGTGGTCTCACCTTCGGCAAGTGAGTTTCTTAAAAAATGCCTCTGTTCACCCAGCAGAAAATGGGTACCCGGTGGGATAAGCCATATGACTACTAACCTTCCAGCTGCTGCTTGGGTTATCCGGGATAATAATATATGAGCTTAGAGCATGCCCTTGCGGCGTGAAGTTCAGCGCTATGTAAGTGGCCTTAATATTATTTTAGCTGCATTCTTATGATTAGGTCTGAGTTTATTCGTGAGATTGATGGAATTAAATACTAGTATTTGATTAACGTTGACATTAATTTTTTTCTCTTTCAGATTTCAGTTTTATTGACGGTGACATTGTGTTCAGTATCGACATACCAAACGAACTTGTAATTTCGGTGTATCGTGCTCAACTGTCACGTGACAGCCATGTCACTTTGACGTCGTATCAGGTTAACCGGAAGACGGCTTCACGTGACGAAATTGGTGCGTACAGGGGATCGATCGAGAGAGGAGGATGGTACCGAATATACAGCCTAAACTGACAATACATGACAATGCAATGTCTAAATACAAATTATGGAATCAGAATTGCTCAACCTTCTGTTTTCTGTTTATTCGGCTTTCTATTGATTTGACTAATGAGTGAGTGAATTTAGTTTTGCGCCGGTTTCAGCAATATTCTAGCAATATTGCGGCATGGGATATTGTACACATATGGAGAATCGAACCCGGGTTTTCGGAGTGACTATCGAACACTTTAACCGCTAGGCTACCCTACCGCCCCCCTATGTCAATAATGGCTGCTGTAGTTGTCGGCAATAAAGACTTTGAACGTATGTGGGAATCGGCCTTACCAGTTAGTATAAAAACATCGAATTTTAAATACATTTATACAATGTCTAAAGAAAATGGAGGAAATAATTGTTTTTGATATTTGAAATCACATTTTACCGATAGGGAATGATAGCTTACCATTTTCTTGAACACCCGGTATAACCTCTGATATTCAGTGATCCATTCGTATAATGTTCTTACCTACTTTGGCTTTTCCGCCCAAAGCCAAATCGAACCAATTTGTCTTCGAGTTTTAATTATGTTGAAATGCTTTAACGCGATCGGGTCGTATTATCTGATGAAACAGTTGTATAGATTTAAACAGGGTTAGGAATATACTGTGTTTTAAGAAAAATACAGACCACATTGTAAAACATTGCCACTGCCCATGGCGGTAACATGAAACGCTCAGCACGGGTCCTCTAAAAATAGCAATGCATCTCAGTTGCTGCTATAGGCGTTCAATCGTTCGAGTTGATTAAAAAAATAATTTGCACTCAAATGTATAAAAGTACCTGGGCGAGTTGAAAACGTTTACGCTTCGAGAATATTTGTTTTCCCTTAAGTTTGGAAATAATTTCAGAGCAAACCTCGTTTTTGCAACCCGGTCGCACATTTTGTAAAACGTTCTGATTTCACTGTCGATATGTGCGATGGTTCACTTTTAGCGGAAAAAGGAGGCTTGAGATGGCAAGAGTAAAAACTAAGTTGAGTAGATACTTACTATGGGTGAGTGAGTGAGTTTAGTTTTACGCCGCATCCAGCAATATTCCAGCTTTATGGCGGCGGTCTGTAAATAATCGAGTCTGGACAAGACAATCCAGGGATCAACAGCATGAACATCGATCTACGCAAATTTGGATACGATGACATGTGGCAACCAGGTCAGCGAGCCTGACCACCCGATCCCGTTAGTCATCTGTTACAAGCATGGGTTGCTGAAGATCAATTCTAGCCCGGATCTTCTCGAGTCCCTACTTTTGGGGTGATTTCACTGTGTGAATAAAGGTATATTAATGGGCTGGAATATCGCGTCCCTAGTCCCAAATTGATCTGGCAATCAGACTCGAGGACTTGAATGACTTTGTGTATTCGTAAAATGTGTGGTATGTTGCTCACTCCTCAGACAGAACTAGGGCGGTTAGATAGCCTAATGGTTATAGTGTCCGCTCGTCACGGCGAAGGCCCGGGTTCGAATCCCCGCACGGATACAATATGTGAAACCATTCTTAGTTTCCCAGCCGTGATGTTGCTTGAATATTGCTAAAAGCGGCATAAAACCATACTCACTCACTCACTCACTCGACAGATGAGAGCGGAAGGTCAGTGGTTCGGTTCCCTGGCATCAAGCCAAAAGACGTAATGTTGTTACCGTGCCTGGCGTTCGTATTAAGGACATAAAGCAGGTACAGTTCCCAGTCAATAATGTGCATAATAAAAATCAACACTGGATCATCCCGTTTTAATGACAAGTAACTACAGTCATTTCTGATTTTTTAAAAACATTTTATTACACACTGTACATGGTGTCAGATCTACTTACCCAGCAGAAGCACGGGAACATTAACTTTACAAAAATATGACTCAATGTTAAAAATAAAGATAAGTTTCACAATTAATTCATATGCCAGAAATGTATAAAACAGTTGCTGATATGTACAGTAAATTCACTACAAGTGAAACAGTTACCACTAATGTTAAATACCTATCCTCGATTATCAATAAAACCAAATCTCAATTCGAATTACCGAATGAACAGTTCATATTCTTGGGAGAGGCTAGGACTTCATATTGTTGCTAAATCATTTGTCCCAGAAACAGATTGCCTCATGTTTATCTTCAAAATATTACATGTTTTGTGACCTAATAAAAAACCCATGATAAATCTTTTTGTCCTTTCATACACGCAGTGAAACAAACGTTGTTGTGAAATCCTAGGCCAGAAGGATATGAAATAGTCGGTCCACAAAAATATATTTACTGTCGATCGAATGACCCGGTTATTCGGCAAGCACAAATAAATTCCTTTGAGTCTAAATCTTAACATGTTCACCAATACTTCCTGGATCGTTTGAGTGACTTATTGACAGAGCTCCTAGCTACTAGAATCTACATTTGATTATATAAAAATACAAAACAAATACAACATATACACATTGTCTAAGTATATGTCCAAAATGAATTATTCAAAAAGCTTCTCATATAATGAAATTCTAGGACTTGGACCAAAAGCGAGAAACTTATGGTCACGTTGTATTGCATTAGAAATACATGTTTTGTGTAACCATGTTTTGCTCATTGGCCCTGATGAAGCATAGCTGTAACATATGTTGCACGTGCTGCGGTGATACAATGGTATTTACATTATCTTTGGCAAAAGTATACTATACATACTGAACACGAAGCCCTATTCTAAGCATCATAATAAATAGTCTCTAAAAGATTTTGTCGTAACCATGGATACAAAATGCTGCCTATTCCAGAGTTAGGATTAATGTATTTGGAAGACGAACACACTAAGGTGTATAAATATAGCAGATAAGGGACCGTTCATAATTTATGGCTAGGGTGGGGGGTGTGTGTGTGTGTGTGTGTGGGTTTGATGGTTGATGACTTTTTTGGAGAAGCATGTACAATGTGGATGACCCCCCCCCCACCCTAAAATTTATGTACAAAATAAGTGACCCCCCTGCATGTCGATTTGTACAAAATCAATGACCCCCCTCCCTTTCCCATAATTTCTAAGCATAATTTTAAACATATTTTTATGTACAAAATTGCTGACCCCCCAACAACAAGCTCCCAAGAACAAAATGGGTGACACCCCCACCCCACTTAAAATCATCATCAAACACCCCCATCCCACCCCACCCAGCCATAAAATATGAATGGTACCTAAAACGATACCTCATGATATCTTAAACATTGAAAATAGACATTCGCACTATTTATCAAGACTTACATGAAATTCGCAGGCATCCCGAGTATCAGGGAGCACCTCATTTACCTGTATCCCATTAAAAATTCGGTATTCTCGAATTTTCATAAAGCTTTCAGATAAATGAGTTCGACTTCAGTTTATCTGCTTGAGTGGAAAGCCCACAGTGGTGCACGTCGTACAGGTTAACATCTTACCCACAAACCAACGATACCAATCTGGGGTTCGATTCCATGAACAGCAGATCCAGTAATTCAAGGGAGAACTCCTTAAACAATTCCTAGAACATTTGCTGTGTACCCTAATACATATCTCCACACTGAGGTATACAAGAGGCAGTTGGTCTTATATTCTACTCAAAAGAAGTTAACGACACCTTCATGATCAATCATGGAAGACAAATGACATTGATATCAAGGAATAGGGTTATCCTTACTTCCTTTGAGCGGTATATTTCGATACTTTACGAACAAATGGTGAAGGCCATAAGGTTAAATTAAAATTGTGTTCGAGAAATCGCCTGAGTATTATCGTCTTGCTGTGTGATAGTTCTTCTAACTAACAGTCCTGTCTGTCCCGTGGATGGGATTGTTCAGGTAGACAGTGCAGGAGTGGTCCTTAGAGTTCCTCAGTAAGGGAGCTGGGGTGGCCGGCTCAGTTTCCGAGTTGACAGAGTACGCTCTCTCCACCTCCCCTCTCTGCTGTGTCTGCAGCACATCCAGCGCCACCTTGTAGAACTGCAACGTTGAAAACAAGGAGTGAATATGGTTTTACGCCGCTTTTAGCAATATTCCACCAGTATCACGACGGGGGACACCAGAAATGGGCTTCTCACATAGTACACATGTGTGGAATCGAACCGACGTGACGAGCGAACGCTCCAACCACTACCCCACCGTCCCTGGCAAATAGTGTCAAACAAAGACGGAAATCATAGTTTAGGGAGAGATCGTAATGTTTCTATTAGAGTAAAGAAACAGCTGCGTTGATTCAGACTTTGAAGTCATTGCACTTAATGGCTGACTGGGTTAGGTAATGAAGAAGGTATCAGACAAAGCACCAGAATCATCCATTATTTCGATGAAGAACGAATCTAATTCAGGAAATGAATGGATGCGTCAAGAATGAAACAACTGACCTTGGCGCATACACAGGGTCCTGGTGCTCCTTTCAAGAAGCAACCTTTACTAAGGTTAACCTTAACTCCCATTCTTTAACATTGCACTAAGGTTACCTTAGTGACTTACGATCACCTTAGTGCTTCGTGAAAGGAGGCCCTGGTATAGAGTGAAATAAATTTATAACGAAATTAATTTACTTATTCGAGACTTCGATTTTCACCCGAAATGGAGCATTACTCAATCAATCAATCAATCTTTATTTACAGTACTGAAGAGCCCGTAGGCCTATAGTACAGTTAACATACAGTAGCAGAGGGTGCAATATAAATGAATATATAGTAAATAATATCACATCTGTAATGCAGAGGATCTCATATTCATGGCATTGTATAAATACATTGCAAGGTATTTTGTGGCTGTTTGATTTTGGGATGCCATGAGGGTATAGAATTTGTCTATTCGGGGGTTCAAGTAGAAATATTTCTTTATGTATTCTTTTCTGATATTTGCATGCAATGGACAAACAAGCAAAGAAATGATATTCAGCATTACTCATCTGGCTTTCTAAACAAATATTAAGTGCCCCTGACTCCCCCAGTCACCCAAAGAGAGTCCGTTAGCCAGTATCGTGTAACTGAGATCACCTGACTGTTCCTGATCATCCCGCCATCTATAAGAGTATCATGTAAGCATTTAATGGTGTAGGATAAGCTAGGGCATTACGAGGATTATTCTCTGGATAAAAGCCCCATATTAACATTGTCGGCAGAGACAACATCTGTATGTTTTAGGGTAAAATATGTCAGCAATGCTATAGAATCTCATTAATGTTTTCAGTGAAGTGGGACCCCGGTCAGTGTTACGTCGAGTTCTTTGTATGTGCCCTACATTGTATTCTGCAGACAGCTGGGGGTATTGGACTCTAGTCTGTCCCCTGAACCGCATTTGCCTTCTGTCTGCCCCTTCTGCATAGTAGGGTAAATAATGGAAAAATCGTTCACTTTGTGATACAAGCAACAAAATTCGCTTTGGTACACTTACTGAAAAAATAACGTTGGCCACTCAAAATTCAGAGATTACCGCCATTTTTCAAGATGGCCGCCATTTATATTACACTATTTTTGTTTCTCAGAGTGTTAATTAAGATATTGTTGATGCTATGTAGCAAATAGGATTACTTCCAAAATCCAAGATGGCCGCCAGTTCTGCAATACTATCCCCATATGAAGCAAGTGTATATTCCCTAAAGTTCAGTTCATCTCACTGGTGCTCCTTTTCAATTTAAGAGGAATAAATGGTGACTACCAAGTGCGTGAGCTAGGTTTAACGACACTTTGAGTTCTATTCCAGTCAATGTTAGATGAAAGCCAAAAGCAATGCGGGCTTCTGATGTTTACCACTATGATGCTAATAAACCCAATATATAGTAGGGACGAACTATGGGGCATGCCAAAGGGACGCAACTATGCACAGCCCTGGCCCACCCACGCCCCCTATTTATTAATTAATGGACTGCAAATAGTTGGAAAGTTCAGTGGTGTTTCATTACAATAACAGTTCAATAACCAGTCGAACGTATAATAGTTCCTCCTTGATAATATTGTTTAAGAATAATTGATAAATAATTATTTATAAGAAAAATTAACACCCACAAAAATTTGGTCTTAATGTCTGGATAATGTGACACATTAGTTGCAAAAATGATATTTCAAGATTTGGTTTAATGATAAATACAAAACCCAAAGGCCACTTTATATTAAGCTCCTACCGCATTGAACCGCCCCAAAATAGGGTTAAGGCTGCACCGCCTAAACCACCTGCGAAGCCCACTACCACCCCCCACCTTCCTGCACGGCCCACAACCCAGCGTGCGCGGTCAACGACATCTGTGACCATTCGGTGACAAACGCGACTGGGTCAACGTCTGACATCTCCACTGAAGTCACGGCGTTCACAGCTACACAGTACAATACTCCCCACAGCAAACGCGTCGTAATCGTTGACCCCAGCTGTGAACATCAACAGCAGCAACAAGACGTCGCCATCCGCACCGTCACCACCTACACAGCGTTCACACTGTGTCCATGGCGTTGGCTCAGTAGATAACGGTGCCTCCTGCAGGGACCACAGCAGTCACCAGACCTTCGTTGGTGACCTTTTTGAACCTGACCACCAAGTGCAGCTAGTTGGCGTCGCGTACGAAACCACTTTGGGCGTTTTGGGGGTTTTGTGCAGCGTGTCCAATTTCGGGGACACTAAGAGTGAGTGAGTTTAGTTTTACGCCGCTTTTAGCGATATTCCACCAATATCGCGGCGGGGGACACCAGAAATGGGCTTCACACATAGTACCCATGTGGGGAATCGAACCCGGGTCTTCGGCGTGGCGAGCGAACGCTTTAACCACTAGGCTACCCCATTGCCACTGGGGACACTAAGAAGGGGCTGCACGCGTAGTTACCATTTTGGGATTACAAAACAAATAAAACCAAAAGTGATAGAAAGCGAGCGAAGGCCTACAATCGCTGTATCCTCAACATTGATAGCATCTATTTTCAGTCTTCACGAGGTTAGCCCTTTCTAAAGCCTCGCCACACGACAACCGACGTCTCCGCGGTTGCTCCCCGACCCCAAACCGAGACCTCGTCTCAAACCCTCAAGGGGCGACAACTCACCGTGAGCCACGCTGTTACGATGCCCAACACGCACCCCGCGATGACGTCAGACGGAAAATGTTTGTGATCCGTTACCCTGGTGAGGCAGCACCAAGCTGAGAGTAACAGCAGGGCTGATTGGATGGTTGGTTTTAGGAGGTAGGATGATGTCACTTGTAATCGCTCTTGCATGTAGAACTGAAACAAAGATATACAATTAAACTACTAATCAATAAATACATTTCTGCTTAGTCCACGAAAAAGTAGGAATATTGTAGTAAACGCCGATGGCCCATGGAAAGGCCATACAAAACTCTGGCACAAATACTTCTGCTTACAGTTCTAGCAAAGGGTCAAAATGGTGAAACATATTAATAAAGTAAAATGTATAAAAATTTAAAATGTAATTTCAGTAGTCTTTGAGACATATTTAAATTGTTATTAACATACCGCTGCCATATATACATTTATCATGTGAAATCTATATTTTAACACAGTGGCACTACTTTTATCTGTATAATGTATGTACCTTAACCAAATTTGGAATAAGTGGATTTTTATGTCAGGTTTGTGAGGCGTTGATATTTTCCTATTTACTTTGACTGGGCTGGTAGCCGTCTTTCAACTTATTCAACGCCGTGGTGTTTCCGTCTAAGGGAGATAACTTTTACCACCACCACTCCTGACCTGACTACACATCTCTGCATTCAGGCTTATAGCTTTGACAGTGCACGTTGTTCTGTCAGTCGTGATATTTGGCTCAAACCATTAAAGAAAAAGAGAAACCTTATCAAATCGAAGTCTTCGGGGCTACCGAATATTATACGTTTTTATCAAGTGATCATTGGCCCTGTGACCGTGTAGAATCGTTTAGATTCTGCACAGATAATTAATTTTATGCCCATATGACATTCACGGTGTTTAAGTAAGGCGGTTTCATTGCATATGTCTGCGCAAGGTTATTATTCTAGGTGTGTAAGTTGAGCAAACAGACTAACACGCGCAAGTCAAAACATTGATTACACAACAGTCTCGTTTCCTGCTGACTGGGTTCCGTCCTATTGCGAAACTTAGTACAATAACCAATCCATAATTTTGAGACCAACCCATTCAACTGGAAATATAAATATTAATCAGTATTATTTGATACATCTAATCACTTGTATATTGCAACACTACGCTCCTAATCCTTGCAAACACGTCGTGCAGCGTGCTCTGACAAACGGAAATCTGGAAATCGTGGAAATCTCAAAACGAGGCACGGCCGCTAGAAAAGTTTGGCTTGATATTATATCAATCACATTGTACGTTATAAACATACACTTAATAAGCGCAAAGAACACATAACAGGTTTAACCAGTGAGCCAGATGAATTGTGAATCACGACCTCATCAAACAGGGGCAGTCTGTGACGTCTAATGGCCTAAACCTCGCCATAAAATATAGAATTACGATAGTTTTAAAGTTTAGAATTAAAATTAATTTGTAAATACCATTTTCTTATGAATCAATGCATTGGAATTTCGGTGTAATCATAGTTGTTTGTAGTGTCTCTTTTCACTTTCAGACGAGAAAAGTAAGTCATTGTGTGAATTGGTTCATGAGACTCATGTTTCGGTTTGGCAACATTTCATACACGCAACTCTGATGACATGCAATCAACTACGTCACAGAGCCTGACCATCCGATCAACCTTCTAGCCTCAACCTCGCATACGAGGTGTCATGGATGTATGAGGTGCCGTGGATCTCAGCTTGAGAGGATACTCGTGAAGCTTCACTATTGACACCCGAGAAGATCCCGGTCAGAATTGGTCATCAACCAATGCTTGTCATAACAGGCGACAAACGGGATCGATGATCAGGCTCACTGACTTGGTTGACATTTGTCATCGTATCCCAATTGCGTAGAACGATGCCCATCCTGTTGATCACTGGATTGTCTGGTCCAGACTTGATTATTTACAGACCGTCGCCATAAAGCTGGAATATTGATGAGTGCTGTGTTAAACTGAATACTATTGACGCTATCACGGTGGTGACAAAAATAAGTGGTACTATCTTAAGTTTTGTTGTTTTAGAAGAGCCGAATCTTACATTTCGCAAGGAAACCATTTTCAACATCGTCCCAAACTCGGGTATAGCACATGACTGAATGGCAATCTCCCATAGGACGAGAGGCTTAGGCTTGTTTATTTTGCTTGGCAGTTGATTTTGCTTCAAGACACCGCCGAATCAAAACTCATGTTTGACACATTGTTCCCAGTTGACAGAATACGTTACGTCACGAGTCATTTGCTGAACCGGAAACGGAAGTATAGAACTAATTGTGTAACAACGACCCTGTCCTTCCTATAACGGGGCGAACGGAGGGGGTTGCGGTTAGCAGAACATGGGGGTTGAGGAAACGGCCACCATTAAGGAGACGTGACACGTCCTATGCGCGACTCCCTCAACATGCTTGTGTTATTTTTTTCAGGTATTTTTTTACTCCCCATAATTATTTGACCCACTGAACCTTCAATATAATCAGTCTGTTAATATTCCTATGGAGTGCTGATTTTTATACTTTTTTCAACCTGGGACTCATTGTACCTATGTATCCTATACGATTTCCTGAAATAGTTCTAAAGTTGCAAGACAACATCTTGAATCATGAGTGAGTGGGACACCGGAAATGGGCTGCACACATTGTATCCACGAGGAGAATCGAACCCGGAAGTGCAATCCTAAATAACATACGTTTATTATTGTCTAAACTGCTCTAGTTTGCCTGTTCCAAACACGTCCCAGATAATCCAGCCTGGCGTCACACTAGTCTATACGCCTGAAAGATCCGGAGAATATGCTGGAATTGGCATAAAGTAATTCTTCCCCAATCGTGCATGCAATCACGTTTCCAAGAATGATATGGGTTATTTTCCTTGCCACGGTAGTTCCTGGGTGTACCAGACAAGCAATAAGTGTCAGCCATGTTGGCGATAGTAATTATTTATGTACTTACAACTGCATAGACAGCGCAGAAGACACCAAACGACGCATGGCCGGAAGGAAATGACAGCCTGCTGTCTCGGATTTCACGTGCGTCGTGTTCCGTTGTCGTGCAAGTGTATTCTGTGATGTAGCTGCAAGGTAAGGTGGACGTTACAGACGTTACGAGTGAGTGAGTTTAGTTTTACGCCGCTTTTTGTAATATTCCAGCAACGTCACGGTGGGGACAACATAATTGGGCTTCACAAATTGTATACAAAATACGTTACGAGTAGGCATACCTTGTATGCTAGAATTAAGAAACCCCAAATAACCCCTTATAATTGAGTGAGTGAGCGGAGTTTAACATCACTTTGAGCATTAATTCGGTCATATCACGACATGTCGGACCCGAGAAGATCCGGGTTAAAATTGGTCTTCAGCAACTCATGCTTGTAAGAGGCTATTAACAGGTTCGAGTGGTCAGGCTCGCTAATTTGGTTGACACATGTCATCGTATCCCTGTTACGTAGATCGATGCTCATGCTCTTCTTCAGTGCACTGTGTGGTCCAGACTCGATTATTTACAGACCGCCGCCATATAGCTGGAATATTGCTGAGTGCGGCGTTCAATTGTTCATGATGTTGATCACTGGATTGTCTGGTCCAGACTCCATTATTTACAGACCGCCGTCACATAACTGGAATATTGCTGAGTGTGGCGTCAAACAACAAACAAAACACGGCATGTTGACTTGATGTGGGATGGAAGCCCGAAGTGATGCCGGTCTTTGAGATTTACCATTTTGGCGGTTCAGACATGGTGCTGGTAAACCAAAAATCAGGGGACGTAAGTCTTCACGAATTGCACGAAAAGATGCCTGTTATAGCACGGTTCAAAATGGGAGTAAGTTAGTAGTGAAAACTACTTATAGTTTGTAATCTTTGTTTCACCAAAGTCTAAACTCTTTAACGGTTGCCAGTGGAGGATTTCAAAAGATATATGAACAGACACATGGTAACACAAATAATGTTAATGGGGATTTATATCCAACTCACGTCCCTCGTTCACTAATTAACACAATAATCTCTCATTCTGTACGTGGGGACGACGAATATAGGCCAATGCTTAAGATGAAACTGTTTTTACTGGCCCAGGGTCCAGGGCCTCCTTTCACAAAGCACTAAGGTGATCGTAAGTCACTAAGGTAACCTTAGTGCAGTGTTAAAGAATGGGAGTTAAGGTTAACCTTAGTAAAGGTTATTTCGTGAAAGGACCCCCAGACCCCCAATGCGTTCGTAGCGCTACGGCATTTGTAAGCCTATGATAAAGTTATGAGTTACAACAGGTCGTAAATTTACGAACGCTCTGTAGATCGGGACTCAGACTCCGTCATACAACTGAAACATTGCTTGTTGCGGCATTAAACAACAACTGTACATTCTGTGACGATCACATGACCCACTCACTCACCCTTGACTACAGTTGATGCTGGTGAAGTCCGGCCTGCAGACGTCGATGAAGTTGGGTCTGAGTCTTCCGACGGAGTATTTGGTGATCTCCGTAAACACTTTGTTGACCATCGTCCCGAACAAGAACATTCCAAACCCTTTGACCGCCATCATCAGTTCGATGTTCTGAGACTTAAAGGTCTCGTCACTGCCCACGCTAACCCTGAGGATCTCCGTGAGAAACAGCTGGAGATGATGGAAATGGTATAAGAAGATGTCCTTACCGTATGGTTATGAAGAACTATAAGCATAATATACAGTGCATCTGAATAGAGTGGTGGCACCAAAAACGATAACAATTGCTCACCTTACCCCAATGGTAAGTGTGACAAAGACATTGATGAAGGCATTCCAATTGGCTGTGAAGAGGTACATCTCTTTGCCGCCTCACCGATCGTCGGTTCGGATCCCAAATTCACCTTATTATGAACACATGAAGATCCGGGTTAGAATTGATCTTCTGCAACCCAGGATTGTCGTAAGAGGCGACTAACGGGATCGGGTGGTCAGACTCGCTGACTTGGTTGACACATGTCATCGCATCCCAGTTGCGTAGATCGATGCTCATGCTCTTCTTCAATGCACTGTGTGGTCAAGACTCGATTATTTACAGACCGCCGCCATATAGCTGGAATATTGCTGAGTGCGGCGTAAACAACAAACAAACAAAACATGGCATGTCGGCTCGATGGAAGCCCGAAGTGATGCCGGTCTTTGAGATTTACCATTTTGGCGGAACAGACATGGTGCTGGTAAACCAAAAATCAGGGGACGTAAGTCTTCACGAATTGCAACGAAAGATGCCTGTTATAGCACTGTTCAAAATGGAGTAATTTAGTAGTGAATACTACTTATAGTTTGTGATCTTTGTTAAGTCCAAACTCTTTAACGGTTGCCAGTGGAGGATTTCAAAAGATATATGAACAGACACATGGTAACACAAATCATGTTAATGGGGATTTATATCCAACTCACGTCCCTCGTTCACTAATTAACACAATAATCTCTCATTCTGTACGTGGGGACGACCAACCAATCTTAATATTCTGATCCTTGATATTTTTATACTATTTATGATAGTGGATTTCACTAAAGCGGTAAACATCTTGCCTCATGAAGACAAGAAAAGGGCAATATAGAATTGAGCCTGGTTTCCTAATATAAACTACAAAACGATGAGGACCACCCTATTCTTATTATTATATAACATTTAGTCGGTAATCTGTCACGGCAAGGAAGATTTACCATAGTAATAGGAATGAATCGGTGGCACATTTTTTACCATTATGATATTTTTGCCGAAAATGACTCTGGTAAAAAGACCAACTGGAATAATTTCAAGATCAAACGTTCCACTGAAACATATGATCAGCAACCTGCTTCGGCGGTGATGTCCCGTTAAATACATACCGTGAATAAAGGCAGCCCTAACCCCACAGTGAGGAGTACCGGAGTGGAGATGGTGTTGCTCTTGTAGGGGAGGCGGATCGAGATGTCGTCACAGTAGAAGCCGTGGGTGTACGGCGTCCCCCAAATGAAGTACAACAACACAGGGGTGCACACTGAAAAATACATTATTTTATAATCCTCCGTCATAATATATAAACTAGTCTAAGTAAGTGAGTATAATTCTATGCCGCGATAAATCATTACTACATACTACACCAGAAATCGGCTTCACACATTGGACCCATGTGTGGGATCGAACTTTGGTCTGGAGTGACAAGTGGACGCTTTAACCACTGGAATACAAAACCACCCCTGGGTTAAGGTACTTCAAACAATGATGTATGTGTGATATGTCCCTTAACTGACGGTGGGCACTCACTCACTCACTCACCCAACTCACTCCACATGTACAATGGTGGAATACAAGCACAAGGTCGGAGATCAGGTCATATAGGTTATCAAAGTCTATATCTCGACACACACTTCCGCTACTTCTGATCCAAAGCATGTCTCATCGTCTGACCTCAGGTCACATGCATATAATTATGTAAATTTGTTTAGTACTCCTGGGAAACGTGATATGTGTCCTACTTCAACCTATTGACATCAGTCACTGAATCAGTTTTTGATTTAACTTGTGGTGATAGTCCGGTTCTGTTTTGCCATTGACCGCCAGTGGTGAGTGAGTGAGTTTAGTTTTACGCCGCACTCACCAATAGTCCAGCTATATGTCGGTCAGTAAATAAACTGAACCAGACAATCCAGTGATGGTGAATATACTGACACAAACTAACGTCATTCACTGGACTTTCTCTATGCTCCTACTACTACTAGTAGTAGTAGTAGTAGTAGTAGTAGTAGTAGTAGTAGTAGTAGTAGTGTAGCAGTAGTAGTAGTAGTAGTAGTAGAAGTGTAGTAGTAGTAGCAGTAGTAGTAGCAGTAGTAGTAGTAGTAGTAGTGGTAGTAGTAGTAGTAGTAGTGGTAGTAGTAGTAGTAGTAGTAGTAGTAGTAGTAGTAGTAGTAGTAGTAGTAGTATGAACAACAGCAACAATAATAACACATTTAGTACGCGGCAAATCCAGATCCTAAATATGCGCCAAGCATCATATCGTATTTCAACGTTTTAATGATGTCTGTGTTAATGTGACATTTCTCTATACTTGGTCATCTCCATATAAGGGCAAACTCAGACATATATAAAGTGTTTCGTGTGCATAAATAGACAGCGAATTTATTTCAGATCTAAGAATGACATTAACAGGTTTCTTTATGTCTTGCATGGATTACTAAACTGCATATTTTGTCATGTCATGTCGTGTACCTCTGACATGCACAAAGGTAATGTCATGTAATCACCTGGATGACCCATTCCCTTGCTAGATACACGTACAGATGACACGGTCAGCAATCAAAGGTTTCACAAGACATCTGAAATTTGACATGTTATATTCGTCCGCCCTTTATTGAAGGGAAGATTGGGAATATTCTTGGTCATCCAAGACTATCTGTTATTCGACATAAATATTTAGAGTTCGAATCTTAAGAATTAAATAATGTCAACCGCATGTCCGGATCCCAATAGGGGCGGTGGGGTAGCCTAGTGGTTAAAGCGTTCGCTCGTCATCCCGAAGACCCGGGTTCGATTCCCCACATGGGTACAATGTGTGAAGCCCATTTCTGGTGACCCCCGCCATGATGTTGCTGCACTATTGCTAAAAGCGGCGTAAAACCCAACTCACTCACTCACACCGATTATTTGTCACTATACCCCGTAATCGTTAACGGTATCCCCCGTAATCGTTAATGGTATCCAAGGCCAACATAATTTGATCTCATGACTCTTACGCAATGCACTTCTAACATAACGTTATATTAGTTGATGTACCTATGGCTTGTTTTGAAGACGACGCAACACTATGTTACGTCTCCGAGAAACCAAGACGAATATTGTTCAGGAACTAATTTCATGACATCGCGTCATCAGTCTATCGCAGTGGTGAATAACAGCTCACGGCGGAAACAATCATTCTCCGACGACAGTAACAGCACAACACGGATGTCAAGACACCAAGGCATCACCATCACAAATCCTAAACGTGCGTCCTCAACATCAGGATGTACCGCTGTAAACACTGTCTATTTCGTCTCGATGAACGCATGGTCTTCAATCTGGAGACTTAATGGGATATGCCATTCCTCAGCGGAACCACGATTGTCGTAAGGAGGCTCAGATTAATATTGTGCAACATATATTGTTTTTCGGGGAACGTTGATGGGGTAAATATTCGAGGTAGCTATCCACGTTATCATATCGTGTCAGGGTTTTCAATCCTCTTTGCCGGAGACATATATGGCATGGTTACCTATTAGGGGCAAAATTCGCACTCGTCACCACTCGCCCCTTTCCGTAACCTATAATTACATTAGCATAATTATGTCTTTAACAAATATTTCTCAAATTTAACAAATAACCTCAAAGAGTAACATATGTTATATTTGGGATTACACTTTCTTATCCAAAAGGCCTCAAAGAGGTTTAATTCTTTAAAATAAATGAATAAAAACAAAAACAGCAATACAATGTACGAGTGCTTCGGTGATATTAAGTACCATTGGAATCAAACAGGAATTGAGTTATCGTTCTTGTTTAAAGTAGTTCTAATGTGCATGCGCCAATATGAAATCCTTCCAGAGGGGCACGAGTGGCTATTCGGCTTGTCCCGGAATAACTAGAGTTGGTCACGAATGGCATAATTCGCTGTGCAGTGTTGCGTGCCTTAGGAGTGCCATTATCCTTTGACTATGTATTCTTCCAATCCTAGATTTGTCGTGGTTACGACTGTAGGTTTGCCACCAGTTACCCGTAGATTTCTCCAAAGTGCTACACGTGTTAGCTTGCACTATAATCCATGCTCAATCCGTCTCATTCAGTTATCACGTAAAATGCAGTTAAAATTACTTTACCTTTTACTTTCGAGATTAATGTTATTTAAAATATTTGGTAGTTGTTGTTCGCGAGGAGGTTTCTAATAAGATTGTGGATTTTTGAAGTCATTCGATACATACTAAACTTCATCAATGTTCTGATTATTGAATCATTATAAATTAAACGCCTTGCATGGTTTACTTAGCTCGGAACGTTTCTGTGAGCCGCGAACTGAGAGAGTCTATATATGAAGACTACAGAAATAAAATGTTAAATGTTGAAGAAGAATTGAATTTCGATATAAGAACAAGACGGATTTTTAGACTTTCTTTGCTGCACAGATACGGTCACTCACAGGGCAATGAACCCGTGAAGATCCGGGGTAGAATTGGTCGTGCTTGTCGTGCTTGTCGTAAGAGGCGACTAACGCGATCGGGTTGTCAGGCTCACTGACTAGGTTGACACATGCCATCGTATTCCAATTGCCCAGTTACGAGTTGCAGGAAGAGATCGCGAGTGAGTGAGTGAGTGAGTATGGTTTTGCACCGCTTTTAGCCATATTCCAGCAATTCCACGGAGGGGACACCAGAAATGGGCTTCACGCATTTTACCCATGTGAGAAATCGAACCCGGATCTTCAGCGTGACGAGCGACCGCTTTAACCATTAGGCCACCCCACCGCCCCGCTTGAGAAGATCGTAGCACAACGACCATTGTATCTTACGTAAACACAGGCTTACCACAGGCGTAAGACAGATCGGTGCTCAAAATGTAACTCTTCTCTTATTTTACTACATATGTGCGATTGCGTTTCTTTGAAATGTGTAACATGCATAGGTCTACGCCCATGTCAGACCTGATCACTCCAGGCATTAAGGACGTTTAAACACTTAGATATATTTTTATAAGAAAAGTTATACTCACATGGATTAGTTTATAATGGCAACAGGATATAATATGGTTAAAACATACCGAAATTGAGCGTAAATAGCATCTACATGTATTTTGAAAGCCTCAGATTGTAACTTGATAATGGTGTTTAGGCGTTTATCGTAGTTCAATAATCTGGATTGCAATGAGCATGATAAGTGAGGGGTGTGCCGCCTGTGGAATTTAAGTTTTGCCATGTCCAACAGTTTGCCATGCCCAAATTAAAAATGGGCGTGGTTGATAAATATTCCGAGTTTCATTAAAGAATGTTGAATAATAACCATAGTAGCTACAGAATAACATGCGTCAGTCTGATTGGAACACCTCGAGAGCTCGACCTCACTGACTTTTAGCAATGGTATTCGTCGACAGTCGCTATAATATGGTTCTCACTGAGACATTTAGCTCAGTACAAAGTTTGAACACAAAGTTATTGAACATTTTTCAAGATCCATGAGCTTTGAATCCTATACATGGTATAATAGTCTCATTCTATTGTAACTGATTATAGTGATACCCTGTGTCTTCTTGTCAGAAATACGCTAAAATCAACCCTCCAATGAAACTAATCACATGAGCGAAAGAAATTCTGTGCTAAGTTAGGGATAGGGGCAATGAGGTGATGACGTCATTTCCGATTTGAAGTGATGGTGCTGAATTGGCCCAGGTAAATAGACTGGGTAAGTAAAACTTTAAAATGTCAAGATGAACAGCAACGGATTTCGCAGCTTTTACCAAACTGACTTCAATCTGAATTTGGGATATCATCTTTGCCCTTCCCAAGCTGAAACTACAATCTCTGTGAAACATGTTGCTTGTTGTTTTACGCCGCAGTATTCCAGTTACATCATGGCTTCCCGTAAAGAACGAAGTCTGGTACCGACGCACGAGAGGACGACATTATGAGCACGCAATTCCACGCAGATGATGTATGAGTTGTATGATGTTGTAATTACATGGTAAAACCATATTTGGCATACATTTTGATCTAGGTTATAATCTTTGTGGCGACCCACATGGTGCTAGTTTTTTTTAAGCTGTACATAATCCTATTCCACTGATTTTGTTTACATCCTGCCGATTTCCAATACAATACGTTGGAATGAACGACCAATGAACAACGACGACGATTTTAAACTTGAGATCTATAATACTTTTGTTACAGCTACTAATCATACAGTGGTGATAGTGATAATAATCGTTAATACTTGACGATGAAAATGATGATGGCGATAATGATGATGATGAATGGACATT